TGTCCCTTATTAAAAACCAGGTAAGAACCATGTTGGACTATGACTCCCAAGTATTGCCAGTGAAGGATAGGCCTGCTGGGAATTGCAGTCCAATGGCAATATGAGGGCCACATGGCACCCATGGCTGCTTTGCATCAACTTTGATCAAAACTCTGATGCGCTTGCCCAATCCAGGGCATTAAAGCACCCTGCTAAGTATTCATTCCTCCACCTTGATGTGCCAAACAGATTGCTTCATGCAAGGAGTGGTTGGAAGGAGACGAAAAATATGGAACAGCTCCAGCTTTATTGGGACAGGTGGAAAGCTTTAGGAAGGGCTGAAAGGTAACCTTTTAGACCAAATTATTAAAGTAGATAATCCACATTATCTGCTTTGAACTGGGTTATATGAGTCTACACTGGCAGAAAACCCAGTTCAAAGCAGATAATCTGGATTTCATACAGCTGTGTAGAAGGGGCCAATGTTGTGAGCCACTTGTGAGTCCCGTTTAAAAGAGAAAAGTGCAATAGTAAATAGTAAAAAGTAGTAAATAAACAATTTACCTAAGTTTCCACATTAATAATAATATAAATTATTGTCGAAGGCTTTCATGGCTGGAATCACTGGGTTGTTGTAGGTTTTTTTGGGCTATATGGCCATGGTCTAGAGGCATTCTCTCCTGACGTTTCGCCTGCATCTATGGCAAGCATCCTCAGAGGTAGTGAGGTCACTACCTCTGAGGATGCTTGCCATAGATGCAGGCGAAACGTCAGGAAAGAATGCCTCTAGACCATGGCCATATGGCCCGAAAAAACCTACAACAACCCATATAAATTATTAATAATATAAATAATGAGAATAAGTAAGAGAAGTTTCGAGTTTGAGAGCAATGCTTTGGGAAAAGGGGCAACTGCAGCAATGTTGGCTGGAAAATTATGGGAGTTGTCATCCCCCACCCCCTCCAAGACTTTATTTTTCTAGCAAGAACCGGAAATTTGTCTTCTTTGGCCTCTAGAGAAAGAATGCCACATGCTTCTTTCCGCACTGCCTTTCAATCCCTGCCTTCCTTGTGCTGCTTTGTGACTTTGCAGAGCCAAATTGGGAAGGCTGTTGCCTGTTTGGAATGGGGAAGAAAATAAAAGATTCTTTTTTCCTCTTTTCAAAATATAACATTTTTTTTTTGGTCTGGTCAGGAGCGACTTGAGAAACTGCAAGTCACTTCTGGTGTGAGAGAATTGGCCGTCTGCAAGGACGTTGCCCAGGGGATGTCCAGATGATTTGATGTTTTTATCATCCTAGTGGGAGGCTTCTCTCATGTCCCCGCATGGGGAGCTGGAGCTGATAGAGGGAGCTCATCCGCCTCTCCCCAGATTCGAACCTGCGACCTGTCGGTCTTCAGTCCTGCTGGCACAGGGGTTTAACCCACTGCACCACCGGGAGCTCCATATATAACATTAATAAGTATTCATTTAAAAAATAATATGTGATGGGAAATACACGACAATAAGAAAATGCAACAATGGTGCTTTGGCAAATTTATTCCCAATAATAATAATAATAATAATAATAATAATAATAATAATAATAATAAATTTATTATTATTATTTCGTGTCAGGAGCAACTTGAGAAACTGCAAGTCGCTTCTGGTGTGAGAGAATTGGCTCTCTGCAAGGATGTTGCCCAGGGGACAGACAGATGTTTTACCATCCTGTGGGAGGCTCCTCCCATGTCCCCACATGGGAAGTTGGAACTAACAGACGGGAGCTCACCCCGCTCCCAGGATTCAAACCGCCGACCTTTTGGTCAGCAGTCCTGCCAGCACATGGGTTTAACCCATTTCGCCACCAGGGGCTCCTATAACAACAACAACAACAATAACAACATAGTAGACTCTCTGTTAACTGGAACTCTTAAGGAACCAGCAACAGCAGCAACAACTAAGTAGACTCTCTGTTAACTGGAACTCTTAAGGAACCACCACCATCAACAACAAGTTAAGTGGAACTCTTATGGAACCAGCAACAACAGCAGCAGCAGCAGCAACAACAACAACATAGTAGACTCTCTGTTAACTGGAACTCTTAAGGAACCAGCAACAACAAGTTAACAGGAACTCTTAAGGAACCAGCAACAACAACATAGTAGACTCTCAGCTAACTGGAACTCTTAAGGAATCAACAACATAGTAGACTCTCTGTTAATGGGAACTCTCGAGGAACCAGTAAAAATATATATGAAAAAATAATACTTTAAATAAAAAATAAAATAAAATCAATTTTTATAATGCAGTAAAAATTGCTTACATTAAGCTTGTTTTAGATTTGCTTTTAATACCTGTATTTCAATATTAATACCAAATCAATACAGGTTGTATGGTATAGTATAGTATGGAGTAGAATATTACTTAGGCCTATTATTATTATTATTATTATTATTATTATTATTATATATTTATTCCCCACTTTCCACAAAGTAGACTCAACTAGTAACTCTCAAGCAACCAGAAACTGCATTTATCCGACACCCACCAATCCCCATAGATTGTTGACTGAGATGCTATTGCAAATAATATCAATTAATTGTTATGATTAGTATTGATGGTGGTGTTGATGTCTGCTTCTCCATCCCCATTGAATGGTGATGTCTCCACTCCAATGGTGCTAAGGGTAACATTCTCATTTTTCCTCCGCTGTGATGGAAACGTGCCCAACCAGAAGGGGAAAAAGAGGGAAAGAAGAAGATGAAAACGGACAAGCCATCTTTGTAAAGAACAGACTAAACTCTCCATTACCAAGAGAGAGAAAAGGGGGCAAGGCCTTGAGAAAAATGGTGATGAAAAGGCCTAGATTGCAAAAGCTTAAAGATATCCTGGATCAATGAATGACCTTTGGAAGGATGCAAGATAAGATGAGTTTTTGCTGTTTGATCCATGCAGATTTCCATCTGCAATCCTGGAAGAAGAAGCAAGAGAAGCAGGAGGAATCTACGTTTGGGGAAAATGGGAAAGATGAGGCACTAAAAGCTTTGGGAATTATAGTCCCACGTTTTCACAACAATATGCAATCTTCTGGGGGAAGGATGCAAACTGAAAAGGCAAGGAGTGGAACCTCCTGATACCAGTCAGTCTGTTTCTGGGGTGCATCTATACGGCAGAGTTTGAAAACGCTTTAACTGTGATGGACTCATACTATGTAATCATAGGAACTGTAGTTTTACAAAGGCTTTTGCTTTCCCTGCCTGAATGCTGGGGGGCCTTATCAAACTACGACTCCCTGGATTCCATAGCAGCTAAAGCGATGGCAAACTGCAATCCATTCCACAACGCGGAGGCACCCCTTCCCAAACTACAACTCCCAAGATTGCAACAGCACTTGATAAAGTCATACTTAACTGCATCCATTCTAGACCCTTGCCAAACTACAACTCCCAAGATTGCAATAGCATTGGTCAAGGCCGCAAAAGTGATGCCAAATTGCATCCATTCTAGACTCTTGCCAAACTACAAATTCCAAGATGCCATTGCACTGGAACTGCATTGATTCCACAGCATAGATGTGCTCTTTGCCGAACTACAACTCCCAAGATTCCAATAGATTTGGATCAAGGTAGCTAAAGTGATGCCAAACTGCATCCATTCTTGCCAAACTACAACTCCCAAGATTGCAAAAGCACTTGATAAAGTCATATTTAACTGCATCCATTCTAGACCCTTGCCAAACTACAACTCCCAAGACTCCAATAGCATTTGATTAAGGCCGCTAAAGTGATGTCGCCTTCGGGCTGAGAACAGCGGTATATAAGTAAGGCAAATAAATAAATAGTTAAGTGCATCCATTCTAGACCCTTGCTAAACTACAACTCCCAAGACTGCAATAGCATTGGTCAAGGTCGCAAAAGTGATGCCAAACTGCATCCGTTCTTGCCAAACTACAACTCCCAAGATTGTAATAGCATTTAATAAAGTCATATTTAACTGCATCCATTATAGACCCTTGCCAAACTACAACTCCCAAGACTCCAATAGCATTTGATCAAGGCCGCTAAAGTGATGCCAAACTGAATCCATTCTAGACCCTTGACAAACTACAACTCCCAAGATTCCAATAGCATTGGATCAAGGCCGCTAAAGTGATGCCAAACTGCATCCCTTTTAGACACTTGCTAAACTACAACTCCCAAGATCCCATTGCACTGGAACTGCCTCCATTCCACAGTACAGAGGTACCCCTTGCTGCATTACAACTCCCAAAATTCCCATAGCATTGGATCAAGGTCTCTAAGTGATGCCAAACTGCATCCATTCCAGACCCTTTCCAAACTACAAATCCCAAGATGCCATTGCACTGGAACTGCCTCCGTTCCACAGTGCAGAGGTACTCCTTGCTGAATTACAACTCCCAAGACTCCAATAGCATTGGATCAAGGCCGCTAAAGTGATGCCAAACTGCATCCATTCCAGACCCTTTCCAAACTACAAATCCCAAGACCCCATTGCACTGGAACTGCCTCCATTCCACAGTGCAGAGGTACTCCTTGCCAAAACTACAACTCCCAAAATTCCAAGAGAATCATAGAGTTGGAAGAGACCTCAAGGGCCATCCAGTCCAACCCTCTGCCAAGAAATAGGAAAATCGCTTTCAAAGCACCCCCGACAGATGGCCATCCAGCCTCCAAAGAAGGAGCCTCCACCACACTCCCGGGCAGAGAGTTCCACTGCTGAACGGCTCTCACAGTCAGGAAGTTCTTCCTAATGTTCAGATAGCATTGGATCAAGGCCTTTAAGTGATGCCAAACTGCATCCATGCTAGACCCTTGCCAAACTATAACTCCCAAGATGCCATTCCTGAGTGTAGATGCAGCAGCACAAGCAAACATCCCCCCTTGTCCTTTTGCAGGCTTTTTTTGCTCGTCTGAATGTCAAAACCCGGGTTAGGAAGGCCTTGGGGATGCTGCAAAAGAAAGAGAGAGAAGGGGATCGTTTTGTGGGGAGGGGGCTGAAAGATGGGGTGCACTACCCACCTTGGCTGCTGATCCGGAGCTGGAAAAAGGCGAGGCCACGAGAGGAAAAGAAGAGGAGGAAGGACGAAGGAAGGAAGGAGGGAAAGGCAATCAATGTCAGCAGAGGAAGAGAAGGAGGAGGAGAGGAGAGAAGAAGGCGGATCCGGAGTGGCTCTGGCGTCGGCTCCTGCGATTGGATCCCGCCTCTGCGGCTCCAGCAATCGCCTTCAAGGACGACCAAGAGGGTGAAGCTACAGCCTGCCTTCCTCCCTCCCTCCCTCTGCATCCCTTTCATGACTAGTCGGCAAAACTACAACTCCCAGGGTTGCTCCATCTTGGGAAAGGGAAATCCAGAGTGCATCTTCTGCACTGGGGAAGGAATGCAGCTTGAACTGCCATGGCTCAAAGTCTATGGGGACCAGTGGGAGTTGTAGTTTGGCAAGGTCTCCAGTCAAACTACAAATCCCACCATTCACTAGCCTTGAGCAATGGCAGCAAAAGTGGGAGGCAACTGCATTCATTCCAAAATGTAGATGCACCCACGTTCCCTTTTAGACCACCACACCCAGTAGCCCCAGTCAGGTCGTCATCACTAGCCAGAGTGCCAGCCAAACTACAAATCCCACCATTCCATAACTTTTAACCAGGGCAGTAAAAGTGGGATCCAACTGCATTCATTCCAAGATGTAGATACACCAAAGTTCCCTTTGGACCACCACTCCCAGTAGCCCCAGTGAGGTCATCATCACTAGCCAGAGCTGGAAGAGAGTATTTTTCTGGATGACAGCTCCCAGAATCCCCCATCTAGGGTTTTGCAAAAGTTCCTGTTTGGATTGCAGCTCCCATTATCCCCAGGCAGTGCTGGTTAGAGGCTCCTATCAGCCAGAGTGTTTGTCAACTGTAAAATAAGATGCGTGAAGCTGATTGATCAGGCAATGTCTGGGGTGATGGTTGAGCCTGGGACTTTTTGATACTGTTACATTTTTGTTCAGGCCTGAACTGTGCATGTGCAGAGAGAGAAGCAGAGAGAGAGAGAGTTTGAAGTGTGCTCTGTCTTCATGAGCTGCTGGAGGAATTTATCCACATGGACACAGAGAGACCATTTAAAATCTCTCATAAAAAGTAATTATGTGAGTTAATGCAACTGATCACATTGTATTGTTGTAGGTTTTTCGGGCCTAAGTAAGGAGCAGATAGGATGGATGATTGAGTTGTTGTGGGTTTTCCCGGCTGTATGGCTATGTTCCAGAAGCATTCTCTCCTGTCGTTTCATCTGCATCTATGGCAGGCATCCTCAGAGGTTGTGAGGTCTGTTGGAAACTAGGAAAATTGGGTTTATATATCTTTCTTCAGGGTGGGAGAAAGAACTCCCACCCTGTTGGAGGTAGGTGTGAATGTTTCAATTGGCCACCTTGATTAGCATTTGATGGCCTGACAGTTTTTAGGTGTGAGATGTGTTCCACATCAGGCATGCGTACTCAGCAGCAGAGCAGCAAAGCGCAAGGGCAGATGTCTTCACTGTATCTGGTTGTGATCCCCAGGTTGTGCCAGTTAGTTTTCGTATGATATTGTTTGTTTGTAGCACCCACTTTTTGTTTGACATTCAAGCAGTGCTTCTTGTGGTCAGAGCAACACTCAGGCATTTGGGTGTGCTGCAGAACTCCAATAGGATGTGCAATGCTCCAGTGGGAATGGGTTCTGGTCTAGTGGGACCAGAAGCGACTTTTGAACTATGACTCTCAAAAACTATCGCTCTCTGGATGCTGCAGCATTGAACTGTCAGTTAAAAGTGGTGTCCAAATACTGGAAGGGGAAAAACACTTATTTTGTGAGGGATTCACCCTGAGTCCCCTTTGGGGCGAGAAGGGCGGGATATAAATACTGTAAATAAATATATTCCTGCTCCCAGAATCTACAAGCTGCAAAGTGGAATTGAAAACTCCCTCGAATGTGCCCCATTAGTGCTTGCTATACCATGGAATGAGCTAGCTTTATATCACCAACCCTTTCATCCCCAGCAGTGTGGATAATGGGGGTGACAGTCCAACTAGTATTTTTCCCTGTTGTGCAATATGTAGATTGTGCCAAGGCGATCAGGAGAAGAAGGAGGCGGTTGGGCCTGACCCATTCATTCGTCCGCCTGCTTTCCATCCATCCCACAGACAGTACAATGGCAGCTTTGTTACTAGCCAATTCCTTCCTTTCTACACTTTCAAAGCTTGCAAAGATTCCATCTCGATTTGGAGTCCCTTTGGACTCCAAATCGAGATGGAATTATTATTATTATAGAGTGTAACTGCATTGTAGAATTAATGCAGTTTGATACCACATTATCTGCTATGTCTCACGCTATATTCTGGGATTTGGAGATTGGCAAGGCACCAACATGGAATCTTTGCAAGCTTAGAAAGTGTATTTGGCAGAGAATGCAGCCACAGGTGCAGGCGAAACATCAGGAGAAAATGCTACTAGAACATGGCTATAACAGCCTGAAAACCACACAACAACACCCTAGGGATTCCGTCCCTGAAAGGCTTTGACAATACAATGCTAAAGGATCCTGAAAAGCTACAATTCATTCGACAGTGGGGATTGCACCTTTTCGGCTTATCAGATGAGGACTCCAGAAGCCTTTGCGCGTCACTGCGGCTACTGTGTTATCTGTCACAAAAACATGGCTTTGTGGGAGCTGCGTTCAAGTTATCTGCATTTAAAAAACAAACAAACCAAGAGTGCCCAAACACAAATCAAGGAACATGAAAGGCACTGCAGACTAACTCAACCAAAGAAGTCAGCCATAGCAGAGCAACTGATAAACTAACCTGGACATTATTTGAGAACACAGAAATGCTGGACCACTCTCACAACCATCATGTCAGACTACACAAAGAAGCCATTGAAATCCACAAGCATGTGGACAATTTCAACAGAAAGGAGGAAACCATGAATGTGAACCAAATCTGGCTACCAGTGTTAAAGAACTCTAAAATCAGGACAGTATTTTTTTATGTCATGAGCAACTTCAGAAACTGCAAATTGCTTCTGGTGTGAGAGAATTGGCCATCTGCAAGGACATTGCCTAGGGGATGCCCAGATGTTTTAATGTTTTACCATCCTTGAGGGAGGCTTCTCTCATGTCCCTGCATGGAGAGCTGGAGCTGATAGAGGGAGCTCATCCACACTCTCCCTGGATTCGAACCTGTGACATGTCAGTCTTCAGTCCTGCAGGCACAAGGGTTTAACCCACTGCGCCACTGGGGACTCCTCCCAATAATAATAATAATAATAATAATAATAATAATAATAATTATTATTATTATTATTATTATTATTTCGTGTCAGGAGCAACTTGAGAAACTGCAAGTTGCTTCTGGTGTGAGCGAATTGGCCATCTGCAAGGATGTTTCCCAGGGGACGGACGGATGTTTTACCATCCTTTGGGGGGGTTCTCTCATGTCACCGTATGGAAAGCTGGAGCTGACAGGTGGGAGCTCACCCAACTCCCAGGATTTGAACCGCCAACCTTTTGGTCAGCAGTCCTGCCGGCACAAGGGCTTAACCCATTTTACCACCAGGGGCTCCTATAACAACAACAACAACAACTATCTTCTTTGTGGGAGGTTTCTCTCGTGCCCCCACATGGAGGGCTGGAGCTGACAGAGAGAGCTCATCCGTGTTCTCTCAGGATTGGAACCTCTGAGTTATCGGTCTTCAGTCCTGCCAGCACAAAGGTTTAACCCACTACGCCACCGGGGACTCCAGGGCAGTAAATAACGAGCAACGCTCAAAAAACAGGGGAATTCCAGACAAGAATCAATCAGGGCCAGCTAACCACCCAGCAAAGGATTCCCCCAGGCAGCAACCAGCCAGGCTTTTGAAGCTGCAAAACCTTTCGATGCTAATCAAGGTGGCCATTTGCAGCATTCACACCTGCTTCAAGCAGATAAGACTGCTTTCTCCCATTCTGGACATTATTCCACAGATATATAAACCTCACTTGCCTAGTTTCCAACAGACCTCACAACCTCTGAGGATGCCTGCCATAGACGTGGGTGAAACGTCAGGAGAGAATGCTTCTGGGACATGGCCATTATAGCCTGGAAAACTCAGCAACCAAGTGATTCCGGCCATGAAAGCAACAAAAACAAGAGCTTTGTTTTGTTTTTGTTTTCCTTTTGTTTTCCTTAACACTATGCAGAGTGTTAATCCAAAGAGCTGGAGCAGAATTGGTAACACACACACACAATTCCTATCCTCATTGTGGGGACTTCTCAGTGGTTGCACCCAGTCATAGCATCATAGAGTTGAGTCCACCCCCCTGACAAGAAGCAGGAAAATTGCATTCAAAGCACTTGTTTGTTGATTAGATTAATATTATAGTCTCTCTCCGTGGTCAAATTCAGCCAGAAGTTGATCATATAGTTATGCTGGAAGACCTTGGGCAGTATCACCTTTTTTTCCCTACTGAGTCATACTGCCTCGTGATACCTTCAGATTACTCTAGTTGTATTGAGTCACACCATTGGTCCATTTAGCTTAGTTTTGTTCAATCTGACGTGTCAAAACAAGACTCTTCCTACCCTAATTGGAGACACTTCTTATCTCTTCCATATGACGTCTAGCTGTGCTTAGCTTCCAAAAAATTGGGGATGAGGATGGTAATGACAACACTACGTAACACGTTGCTTGTTCCTGGGTTATAAATGTCATTTGCTAATTGGGTATATCATAAAAACATAGTGTAGTAGCAAAGCAGTGCATCTACACTGTAGAATTATTGCAGTTTGACACAACTCTTAACTGCCACGACTCAATGCTGTAGAATCATGGAAGATGTATTTTGGCGATGCACCAGAATAAAGACCTTGTAAAATTATAATTCCTACAGATCCATAGCATAGAGCCTTGGCAGCTCAAATGGGATCAAACTGCATTAATTCCACAATGTAGATGCACTAGCCAGAGGTCATAAAATATTGGCAATAGTGTTGTGTATGGTGTGTTTTACTTACACCACTATGTCCTCTGCAGCGTTCTTAGCATCTTGTTTAACCCAGCCTTTGCGTGTGCTGCAAAACAAGAGAATAAAACTCAATATTATGTATGTCAGAAGACTCAAGATATAAAGAATTTCTGGGGCAGGCAAGTGAAAATGGAGGCGGAGAC